GTACCCATTTAAATGGAACACCCTCTACAATATGATATGCATGCAAACAAAATTTAATTTTTTAAAATCTTTTTAGAGTCTTTAAAAAAAGTATTTACGAATAGAATAATACAACTTATAAAAGACTGCAAGTACTAAAATTACAAACTGCTGCAGTACAGAGTTACACTTTCAACATTCAGTAGATATATATATATAATTTTTTTTTTTTAGAATTCATAGGATACCTGTTTTATATAATATATAAAATATACACGGATATACATAATAAATTTACCAAAGTAAAAGTTCCTTTCGATATTTTAAATGTGAACTATTTTTTTTTTTTATTTTTTTACGGAGCTTATCAAACAATCTTTACCGTGTAAAGTATAATTGCCTAAAAACTAAACGACAAAATAAAAGGTAGAAGCAAATTATAACTCTGCCGCCTTATCTTAAAGCCGGACTTTATTTATAGTAATAAAAAAATAAAAAAGTGATTTTTTTTTTACCGTGATTAATGCGTTGAATTAAAGAGATTCGCTGACCGTTATCGCGTTTGGCCTGCGCAGTCGTGCAGAGGTGAAGATTTTGTATACAACCGCGTAAATAATAAAAAATAAAAATAATACAAATACAAATCTCGATAAAAAAAACCTCGACTCTGTTGACTGCTTGAAAAATACACGAAATAAAATGACGTCAATTTTTTTTCAACTTTTGAAGCCTTTGTTATTGAAAACATATTCTATTCATATTCCCAACATAAATTTTACGTTTGTTTTTTAAAAAACAATATCATTTATAATACCATGTAAGAGTTGATACTAGTGATCTTTGTACCCGACACACGCGCGTACCTCTTTTGCCTATACACTACGCCGCCTCGACAAATATTTTATTCGATTGTTTTACTCAACGCCTTTTTTTTTAATACTCGAGGATAGCGAAGGATCTATTAGTTTTACTATGATGTGTGCTACTTTTTTTGTTCCTGTGTATAAACAACTTTTCTAAAAGATCATGTTCCGATATAAGGAGTGTAGTACCTATTTTTAAAAGTAATTTTCTCTGGTCGGTACATTAAAGAAGTCATTTTTTGATTTTCTAAAAGGTTTCTAAAATAATTGGGAAAAACCAGAAAAAAAAAATTATAGATAAAACAGCGTATATTTACGGTGGGATGCGGCGTTACCAATTTTATTACTTTTAATGTTTGTGACTTGTGTTCTCAAGGAAGGTACTCTGTGGATTATATTGTTAGAATAAACAGAAACGCTTGAAGATTCGTACTACGAATTTTTAAAAAAAAAAAAATCAAAAATTTTGCACGAGAAACGCTGCTGGGATATTTATTCAAAAACTAGGTTTTCATTATTTGGTAAAAAAAAAAAAAAAATTGTATTTCCGTATTATAACCTAACCTAACATACATAAAAACATTCATTTTCACGGGCGTTCATTTTTCTCACTGTGAAGAGGGGTGAATGAGTGTCAAAATAGCAAATGTTATTTCTTAACGTATACATGTACCCTATATACCATGCGTCACCGACCGGAATGTACGAGTAAAATTATATTAAAAATATTTTTCATTCCAAAACTGTCCACGGGAAACGCCGAGTAAATAGTCATATGAGTATATCAAATCGAACGAGGAATAACTATAGTATGCAATACAAACCCAATAATCTTCTTAATAATAGAAGTTTTAAATAATAGAGTTTTTTGAAATTTGAATTTTTTTTTGTTGGATAAGATATTATTAGTAATTAATTACTTTATAAAGTAAATGAATTATTAGTCGAATGCAGAAGGAATTTTAAATGGATGTGCTATCACCTAGATTTAAGGGGCAATTTGTAATTTATCGATTCAAATTTTTTTTCTTTATTAACTCAAAAATGTCATAACTATTATTTATAATCTTATCAAGAAATTAACAAAAATATTTCTTTTTTAGTGCTGTCAAAAACTATGTGGGTTAGTAAAGAACCCGAATTATCCATAAAAACAAAGAAACTTTGCACTTTGCATAGGTGGTTATATTTTTTTAATATCAATTTTAATAAAAATTAGTTATTTGAGTTTGAATAACTTAAAGTTATTAGATTTTTAAGCAAAAATTACTTTTTTGGTATTTTTGTACTAAAAAATAAAATAAAATTTAAGTTAAGTTCTTTATTCGTATATCTGTAGCCTGGATAGTTTTTACAGTAGAATTGCAGATGGTAGTTCTCTTTAACGCGGCAAATAGACCTGGAGTTATAGAACTGTTTTTTTTTCTGGATTTCTACAATAGAAAACTAATAAACTGAATATTTATATTAATCCGTGATGTAATAGTGCATTATATTGTGATTCTACAAGAACGATAACGTAAAGATAATATGCAATTTTAATATATACCAATATTATAATATATATCTATGTCTCCCGGAAACCTTACGTACCATACGACACGTGCTTATTTTTCTCGTCGGAAATGTGTTGAATCGGCAAAAAAAATTGGACAAAACCCCGAAATCATACACTTCATAATATTATGAATAATCCTGGTTGCATAACATTCGAGTTCACTATACACGTAAAATATAGTTGAAAGGTTCGAAAATAACGATCTCCGTATTATATTCGTTTTTGATACTATAAACAAGTGATCCGTTGAATATGTTGGATATTATTAATTTTATTTCAGTTTTGTTTTTCTTTTTGAATCGTTATCAGGTCGTTTGTTTTAAAGGGATTTATTTTAACGCTATTTTCAAAAGTAGACTCACAATCATTATAAATTATAAAAGTATTTACGTTGATTTTTTACATAACCAATCCCTTCCAAATTAAATACAGATTAAATACAGACGTTGGTAACCATAGCAAACACTACTGAAATACAATGTATGGGTTAGAACAGTTTACATTTTTGAAAGAAAGTATAGGAAAAGATTTTTTTTTTTTTGTCATCTAAAGTTTTATATGAAATTCATTACAAAAAAGTAACAAAAATCAAATCCCTGATATACATAACATAAGAAACATGGTTATGCTAAACTTTGTGATGTACATTTTGAGGATCGGACGAAATTCGCTATTCAATGTAGTAATGTACTACATTTCTCAAAAAACATGAAATTTTTTTTTTATATTTCCAATGCATCGACTTCGTGTGGTAAATTTTACGAATAAAGTAGTTAACGAGTACAGAGATAAACGGCAAATTAGTTGAATTCTGCATGAATTTGCATGTTTTCCCAAAAATAGAAAATCTATAAGATTTTTTAAAAAAATACCCAGCGTTATTACATATTACGGAGTGGTTATTAACTGAGACGTGGGAGAATTTAAAATTTGCCACCCTACGTTTGATAAGAATAAAGAGAAAAAATGATTTCACCCCGAAAAATTGGGATTGAAAAAAAATAACGTTAACATAATATTTTTAAAACTGCTTGTTCTTAAATCGTCTTGGTGAAAAATTAAAATTATGTTAACATTTTTCGAGAAAATTACTATCTAACGTTTAGTTGATCACCCCGTATATATCTTATGCTCGGGGATTAATGTGAGGAGGGCGAAAGAGGACGAAGTCCTCCCTCTTATTTACAGTAACATTATCGGTCTCCCAATAGTATAAGTCTTTAAAGTTCTGGGAGGAGGTTTTAATTACTGTCATTGAAACATATTTAATGCAATTTTAAAAAGTCGAATCAGCTAAATTAAAAAATAATTTTTTAATACTTTAGATATACGTAATCAGACACTGATTTACATTATTTTTACTGAACAAGCTTATACTTACGATAACATTTATGTGAGGTTCGCTTTTTTATTAAAACTCTATAGTATAACATTTTTATGAACACGTATTTGGGATAGAAAAACGTTTTGGAAACCGTGTCTCCGTAATGGGTTTACTGAAACTTTAGTCTGGTGTAGCTAGTTCTCGGGAACGCCCCTCAATTTACGGTAAATATAATCATCCTTTCGAGTATTTCCTACTATACCCACCGCTTACACTTAATATAGTACGACAACGTGCAGTCGGTTTTAAACACGATTATTTTAATCACGCGGTTCGCATTCAGTTACGCGTTTAAACATTGTTTTTCGATAAATCCGCAGAATTTGAGGTAGGGAAAATGTTGTCCACGCGTGGCGACGACGACGACGACTACAAGAGATCCTAAAAAAATACCCGTCGTTCGAATTTATTAAAAAAAACCTTTTCCTTCCTACTCCAATTCCTTCCCTTCTTCCAATCACCATCCGGATATTTTTCGAGCGACCGGCAAGCTGCAATAAATTGATTTCTTGTTTTGTTTTAACGTCCCACGCGAAAAATAAACGATCGTCAAATGGATCACACAACAATGCAAACCGAATATACAAACAGTCGCGACTGCGTCGCGCGGCCGAATATAAATTGAAATTCTCTTATGAATAATGCAACGAGGCAATGGACATTTCGAATGTTTTTATGCTTTTGACTTTATTCCAGATGATAAACTGTAATCATTTTACGGCGAGGGGTTTTTTTTTTTTTTTTTTTACACTTACACCGCCGATGGCGACTGTCACGTTGAGGAAAGTTTTGCTTTATAAAAACCGTTATTATTTTCACAGACGAAGGAATTTCCACACGTGCCTTTATCACGATCAGGACGTCTGTAGAAATTTGGCGTCCTTAGCTTCCATCGCATTATTGTTCGTTCCCTCCCCTCCCCCATTTAAAATTATTTCGAGATATTCTAGTGGTTTTATCCTACTTTACGATATATAGTACATTCTGTCGTGGGTTTTTTCCGGTAAATTTAACTACCGCTCTTTTCGCCATCTCGGTTTTGTATTATTATCATAATTATAGTTTTATTTTTTTTTCTTTACAAAATTTGTTAATTCGTTTACATATTTTTTTCGAGTACAAACACACAGCGCTCGAGTCAAAATTCCCATCCAATTATCTGTGAATATAACACAATTACCATCTTAATCTGCGTTTTAAATCGATTATCGAGTCATTTTAATTCGCCTGGTTAAAAATATTTTAAATTATAAAAATTCGCAGTAATATCCGTAGACAAAAAAATAAAAATGTATATTTCTTCACAGATTATGTGTTATAAAATTAATACTCCGAAACAATATAATTCTTGCGACTACAAAATTCGATTTTTTTTTTTTTAATTTTTAGATTTGAAAATATATTAACAAAATGTAACTTTAGACTGAAGAGCATGTAAGTTTGGACATTTTTTTTTTCACTGATTATGTCAGTTCAATAACGCTAATCATTTTTTTAAAATTAAGTTGTTTTAGATTCTGAGCGCAGCGAAGAATGTATTGGTTTTACTATGATGTTACCATATTTTTCTTTCCGTAAACACATTTTCATTAGAAATCATACTCATAATGTAAAGTGTATCATCTAATTTTTCTCTATTCAAAATTATAAATCGAACGTAGGTTAAATATCACCCATGGGTTGAAAGAAATCGAATTTTCAACACCGAAGTATATTTTAAATTTAAATTTTTTTGCATAGATTTTTATTTGAAAATCAAAATAAATAGGTTGTTGTTTAATTTCCGAAAATAAGAAAAAGAAAAAAAATGATGGTGTAAAATTGAAGAGCTGATTGAATATTTAATCGTCAAAAGAAAAAATAGTTAATGCTTACGATATATTACAATAGTAGGTCTGATTAAAACCAGAAAATACAATTAACGTTAATTAGCGAGGTTACCGATTGGTAACACCCTGCAGGTGATAAAATTTTTAATATGTGTATATAATATAGTATTTCGTTTCATTATAATGTATGTTAATTCCAAATAACATCTATCAATTATCAATCTAATAAATGTACGACCTATAGACTAAAAAGGTCAAAAAATTGAATGCTTTAATATTAGAGAACTTGTAAAATTTTAAAACTATTATTTTAATTGTATTGATCATCTTAAAAGCAAATCCATTAGACAACCAGATAACAATATAGAAGAAATTAATATTTCAATTTTTTTGAACAAAACATTTTTTTATGGGGGTAGGGATCTTATTGGTCAGCGAGGGAGAAAAATGTTGATTTAAATTTTTTGAAAGTAAATAAAAAATACTAATTGTTTACGTAAAAATGTTAATGTCAAAATATGTTATTTGAACGCGAATATAATTTGCAAAATTAAAATACTTTATAATACAATAGGATACGTTTAATATTCATTGTTATAATCTGTAACTGTATAGTTGTCCAAAACTTTATTAAAACGGATAAAATTCAACAGCGTTAATTGTAAAAAAAAAAAAAAACTAAAATAAAAACGTCATAATGTTAACAGCTAGAAAATCCTTTAGTTCGAAAAATTAAGAACTTTTCGAAAATATACACGAAAAAAAAAAATTTTTGTTAAACTATCTGCAACACACTTCGGATGCATTATTATTTAAAGCGCATAACGATGCGCTCGTTTCGTTCACATTCGCACGCCACCACCACCGCATCAAAATTTACCAATCGACAAAAATATACAATAATATATTATTCATTATTATACTATCACGTTGTTATTATCATCTGACGTCTGGTGCGCAGGTGCGTATATTATTCGCGTGGTATTTTTTTCACCCCTCGATTTTTGCAGACGTGAGAATTTGTCAATAAAAAAAAAAAAAAAAAAAATTATATATATATATAAACAGCAATAAATCAACCGGAGTCTCCCGGTTATGTTGAATAATATTTTTTTTTCACATACATGAAATTTTTATTTCACATGCTCTATACACCGAACAGGTGCGCGGCAATCAAATAGATGATGCGTTGAATATTTCAACACCGACCGCTTGTCAAGACGCTGAAACCGTTGCTGTACCTCCGGCCTCCGCAGCCGCCACCATCATCTCCTCAGCCGCCGCCGTTGTCGTCTCCTGCATTCTCCGTCGCCGCTCTTATGTTGTGGCGGCTACGACGGTGTCTGGCGACCGCGGGGTTATAAATATGAAAGCTCCCGAGCTCTTTCCTTCCTTCCTTCCTTTTTTTCTTCTCCTCTTTTTTTCGGTCACGGTGCGAGATTATTTACGCGTATACGAAAAGATAAAAATATGAGGCGGAAAAAAAAAAATACCCGTATAGACGAAACGCCGTCGTCGTTGTCGTGTAGCGCGCGGCGCGCATTAAGTGTACCGCAACGACGATAGGGGGAAAGTCGGTATGGGTACGGAAAAAGGCGAGAGCTAGCAAAGAAGCGTTTTTTTTTTCTTTTTTATTTCTTTTTTGCGTCTGGCGATGAGGTAAAAATTCAACTAGCCTCGGGGTTGTCTCATATATACGGTAATGTAGGTATATTACTTTCTTTATCAACATTCTTCTTCTCCTCACCTTGACCGTTGTCGCTTGCAATATTATAATGATAAACGGTAATCTTATCTTCTATGAAAAACGAGCATCATTCAAATACTATTTATTTCGTATCAGTAGCTTTCGAGTTATCAACGGATCGGCACGAGTGTTGTGCTGATTTTGGATTTCCAAAATCAACGAATAATTTTAAATAACAATCTCGTCATTCTAAACTCGTTATTTTATTAAGTAAAGAATAAGAAAAAAAACAAAAACGGAGATTTATTGAAGTTTCGACGTGACCTATGTTTTTGACAACTAAGCAATCCTGTATTTTTGAATATCATTCCATTTTTTCGATTAAATTTAGGTCAGTTCAATGTTCTTATTATCTTTGAGATGAACACTGCCGAAAACTAGCGTAATAAATTGAATATTATCAACTATTATCAATAGTTTACCTTTCCAACGGCCGTGATTACTGTGCCCCCTAATTAAATAAAACAGGGATAGAAAAATCACTAGCATACTGGCGTGTAGTGTACGGACGTGTATTTTCACTACTGTAGCAGTGTCTTTTATATTCGACGTGAAATCTTAAGTACAAAAACGTGTGGTAAACGATACGGCCATTGGAACATTTTTTTTCTCCCGTCAAATAACTATAGAGTTCGAACCCGTGATATTTTTTCACGGGTGTGCCACGTTACATGTATAATAAAAATAGAATTATTATCACTATCGTTAGTTCATAAATCACGTTAAATGATGCAAGTATCAACTGGTGTACTTACGCATATTATACAAGATCAAACATATTTTCAGATCAAACAATAGCTGGAGATCGTGTGGTTAAATAAATGTTAAGCGAATTGTTTCCGTATTCTATTAATTATGGCGCAAAAAATTATTCATTTTGTAAGTGTCTATTAAATTCACAAAACAAACTAAATAGTTAAATCGGGGTTAAATACGTTTGCTGTGAGCACCAATCACATTGTCAGCCGATTAAAATTCAGTAGTGTATTAACTAGCTCATAGACATTTTTTTAAATAGTTAAATCCGTTTTTCTAATTCTCCGATAATTTGTCCGATATTTCAAGACATTGAACTATTTGTAATACTTTGACGAACAATTAGTTCAAATATCACTAAATAATCCCAAGTATTAGATCAAATATAATTCAATTAAATGAAATGAAACCCGTACACGACTTTAAAAAAATATTATTATTTTGATATAATAACTACGGTATCTTGTAAATGCGATTGAGTCAACTATTTAGTTTATTTTGTGCGCAGTAAAATGAATGGCAATGCTGATTGCTGACTATCCTATCGACAGATTGTTGTCCAATATTTTGATCAAAAGAGAAACGGGATGCCCTTTTGATTCTTAAACATTCGACTTTTAGTCGGTATATGTACGCGTTCTTGTATAACCAAATGTTAGTCGCAAAACCGATCAAACTGTCAGCCATATTAAAAAGTCTTTAGTATCTATTATTTCTTCATCTCCTATGACGGCCCATTCAAATAATACGATAGGTGAAATCTGATCATATTTGTTTAATGTTCGTGAATTTGTATACAAAGAATCCTACAGTGTTATCTGAATGCTAATAACTCTGTAAATATTTTAATTTTTTTTTTTTTTTCAATCGAGTTTTGTCTCAATTTGTAAAATATATTATTTTAAAGTTTGGAATATACCATGCATTCATATCCGATCAATAGTTTTTTAGTAACAGCCGTTTTAACATGCTGACTCTAGAGAAAGTTATGGAAAACGAGATTATCGTATTACGTGATAGCAAATCATACTAGTGTTTCAAGGTAAGAAATGTTGACACTGAAGCGGCTATAACTAAAAAATTATTGACTGGATATGAATATATCCGTATATAATACCATTTTCTCTCCCAAGAAAATACAAAATACCTAATACGGGGAAATATCTACGCACTCTACGCTTAGATCTCCCAAAGTTACTTAATGAAAAACACTGAAAACAAACTAAAAATTAATTTGTTGAGGAAAATATTTCGCAAAATGTGAAAAACGCACATAAAAAAAATCAATTTTTTTTGAAAATGAATATCACCCAAAAACTAAAACGCTTAAGATATCTTGGAGATTTATACTTTTATTCCCAGAAATTAAAACGCTAAAACATAATCAATGTTTGAGAAAAATATAATCTACCAAAAGTTAAATACAGGAAACTTTCCTAACATGGAAATATAGAAAAATTTCAATAAAAAACGTATTCGCATGCGCGTACCTACAGTAGGTAGACAAAAACAGATAAATACACAAAAAAAAAAAACGATTATATTTCCTTAATATCATGCTCTAAATCAAACAATCACAACTCTGTGTACATAGAATGAAATACGTAATTGTATATAATGCACATACACAAGTACAAAAACAAAAAAAATCAAAACTGTGTAGAAAATACACAAAAAACACAAAACATGAAAAACTGGAAGGAACACACACAATCGGAAAAAGAAGGTCTGCGTGCGCAGATAAACAAATTGCATTGGGAACCACTGTCCTATATCCCTTTAACAAGGATATCGCTCAAACACAAACTGGAGTAACCAAAAGACTATGAACTAACCGGTATCAGTTCGATACTTCAGAGTTGATTTGGACTACTTAATTATTACTACTGTACTATTGGACTACTTTATTCTCAAAGACTACAAAGTCAGATTGGTTTAAGATCGGACTCAAAATAAAAGAGAAAAAATTTAAGCAACTTAAAAACAAAACGAGAGTACACACTAAGGCGTATGAGGCAGAAAACCCAAATAAACACAAAAATTCATTAAATAAACTTTATTAAAACTGAAGAACATAGTCCTCGTCGTCACCGCACGGACTCTTCTCTTCCTTCTCGCTTTCTGCTGCTTTTATAAACGTACAATATTAATAATTTACCTTCCTTCTTAAATATTATCAAGACACTATTCATTATTACAATTTCATATTAATGACAAACAGTATAATCGTTGCGCAATGTGTCATTGACACTCTGCATATTCAACAGAATATATGACACATTTAAATTTGTAGAAAAATACATTTTAAAAAATAAAAAAAAGTTATTTTTTCAGTAATTTAGTGATGGAATTAAAAAATTAATTTTTCTCTACATTTATATCCTCCTCCCCCCTCCCTTTTAATATAAAAACCAATTCACAAAAAAATTAATACAAGTAAATGAATTTACAGAGTTATTAGCATTCGGATAACACTATAGGGTACATAGTAGACAATCATTAAATTTTATAGAATTTTATAACATTTTCCCTCACACCAATTTTTTTTTTTTATCAAACTACTTTTAGAATCATTCCTGAGAAATAATCTACTAGAAATCTACTCCCAAAACTATCATATTGAGCTGAAATAAAAATATGTTTTTTAGAGTCAAAATGCGCATAATATTATTATTTTTTGTGATATCGTCGTTACATTACAATCATAACGTTAATGTATTCAAATAATAAGTAGACTAAAGAACATGCAAATACTCAATATAAATATAATATCAGCTATACCATAATAACAATACGCGAACAAATAAAATAAATAATAAACACGGTGTTTCTTTGACATCGCATTAAATCGCTGTAAATAGGATCAAAAATATGATAAATAACGTAAGAACGTAAGAATCCCAACATTATCATATGCGTATTATATTCTAACGTATAAACATTTTTAAATTCATATAAATACAAAGGCACGAACAAAATATTACAAAATACATTTCAAAGAGATTTTGAAAATAACAAATTTAAGCAGGTTATTGTTATATAATAAGGAAATGTACTGTAATACGCGATTTTTACGACTTTGCTCCTCTACCAGAAAACTTTATCAGAAATTCAAGTGTGAAATCTTCTCTAAAAGAAAATTTTATCTCGTTAGCACATTGGGAAGATCTCTTTTTATTATCCTTAAATTTCCTCGATAATAGAGAAAAACTAAGAAAAAACGCATAGGTAGGAAAAATGGAGAAATTTACGAAATTAACAGTTCCATAAATTTCCAGTTTGTTTTTGTTGTAAATTGACTTGAAAATTTCCTGTGTAATTATATTAGCCTTTACTAGATGTAAGTTTTCAAAATATTTTGGAAATGAATGAGATTTTTATAAGCATTTCAAATGATCGAGTTTTATAGCTTTTTATAGAGATTTCCTAGAAAATAAAAATTCGTAAGTACAACGGCGAAACGTGGGAAAATAATATAATTGTTTAACGATAATAAACCTGGTAAAACTTTTTTTTATACAGAATTATTCATTTATCATTAAATCAAAAACAAAATTTATTTGTCTATACAGCGTAATTTTTAATTTATAATAAACGATACAGTGATTTTATTAAAAGATTGTGAAGTAAATATGATTTCGTTTTTTTTTTTTTTTTTTATTTGGTCCAAATAAGTGGAAAAGAGTAACAAATTGTGTGTCTATATTTGTATGACAAACTTCCCCTACTTCTCCGATCTTAATTTCAAAGTTTTACATTTACGGTATATTTCATATAGAATTATACCTGGCATTACAGCATTAAAAATAAAAAATGTTTTGAAAAATATTTCACACTCGAATATATGTTTTAATGAGGTATATAGTGTTAAATATATTTTCCAAATAAAACTTAAGCGATTTCACAAACATCGAAAAGAAAAAAATGGGAAATCAAATTCACTAAGAAATCCTCCCAATAAATTACTGAATCATCATAAAATAGTCACTCTATATAGACGAATATCATTCTGTTTTTGGTTCACTATACACGATATTTGAGTGTATTATAATTTCGTTGAAAATAGGTAGGTAAGAAAAACATAATATTCAGTTTATCGAGTAAAAGACAAAAGCAGTTTAAAATTTGAATCACGTGCGTCAAACGCTATAACGATATTATAATAACAAAAAATATTGTTATTGCGCATAATTTTTATTGGACTAAAGGTGAATATTACCTAAATAAATTTAACGTCCCCGTAACAAAATACCGACTAAAAAAATCGTTGAAAAATATTGTATTATGGCAATAAAATTAAAAAAATACCAGACGTACTATGTACCGCTAGTTCTTTTAAGTGGGTAGTTAGGAAAGCAGAATGTATAGGGTAATTTAGTTTGTACACTGCATAAATCATTGCAAACGAATGTGAGCAGACTACGGAGTAGTAATACGTAATAGTCATGTTTTTCCTTTTGTTGCCAAGGAACTTATAAATCAACAAAAAACCAAAAAAAGATTTAGAAGGTGAACTGAAAAAAATTTCGATAAATGTTTCAAATAAAATACAACCGTCTGAAAATTCCGTATCATTTTAAAATACTGTGTGGTGTGGACAAAGCGTAGACTTTTACCCAGCAAAAAAGTTGTTTACAAAAAAACACACATGGGTATTGTTTGGATAAAGT